GCCATCTGCCAGGTACTGGGAAGAAAATTAACTCTACCCGCAGTATTTCAGAGATGGCCTCACCAGAGCTSAGCAGAGGAGCAGAATCACTTCTCTTGACCTGCTGGTGATCCTTTGTCTAATGTGACCCAGGGCACCATTCACCTTCTTGGCCGCAAAGGCTGTCCACCAGGACCCCCAAACTCCTTTCTGCCAGGTTGTTTTCTAGCTGTCCTGGTKCATGGTAGGTTTTTTTTGTCTGCAGCTGCAGGACTTCGCACTTCTTGTAACTTTGTGAAGTACCCGCCAGCCCATTTCTGCCAAGGTCCCTCTGGACAGCAGCATCACCCTCTGCTCTGTCTGCCACTCCTCTAAGGTTGGTGCTGCTTACAACCTTGATGAGGGTGTTCTCTGGCCCGTCATCCAGATTGTTAATGGATCCCTGAGGTACATTTTTAGTTACTGATATCCAGCTCCATCCTGCCACTGGTCACCACTCTCTGRACACAACTGTTCAGCCCACTTTACAATCCACCTCCCTGGCTGCTTATCCAACCCATTCATCAACAGCTTCTCTGCAAGGATCCCCAGGAGACAGTGTCAAAGGCCTCACAGAAAGTCCAGGCAGACAATAGCCACTGCCCTCCTCCCTTCTACTAGGCCAATMGCTTTCACCATGGGAATCTACCAAACTGTCAAGCATGACTACCCCTTGTTCAAGCCATACTGACCACTACTGATGATTTCCGTGTCTTTGATGTGCCTGAAGATGGTTTCCAGGATTAGCTGATCCATCACCTTCCCAGGGATTGAGGTGAAGGTAACCAGGCTGCAGTTCCCCTGGTCACCCTTCTCTYCCTTCTGGAAGATGGAGGTGATATTGCTTTACTCCGACCCTTGACACTTCCCTTCATTGCCATGACCAATCAAAGCTGATGCGGATTGCAATGGATCTGCCATCTCCCCCAGCACCTGTGAGTATATCCCATCAGGGCCAATGGACTTATGTATATGCAAGTAGCTTAAGTATTCCTGGACTTGACCCTCATCCACCTAGGGTACATCTTCTTTGCTGATTTGGTTTCTACAATTCATGTTTGCTGCCCTTATCACCTTACTACCTTTCAGATGGCTGCAATTTGATAAATAATTCATTTTATAGACTSTTTAGAGCTGAGGCGAGGATGCCTGGGCAGCACATTCTCAGGTCATCCTCTCCATTCTGGTTTGAGAAGTGTCTTTTGCACTGTCTCATTTCTGTCAGTGTTCCCACTTTCCAYTAGCTCTTGCAAGTAATTATCAAAGGTCTTGGAATCAAAGGTCACTGTGGGGTGAATTTTGTCTTCTGTTTTTGAAGTCCCTGGCCTCAACTAATCCTATTGGTACTGTAATTGTTGGAAGGAAAGATGTGTCCTTTGGCCATGTAAAAGACAGGGTGATGCTAATTTTTGCCTTCTTCCTCCTTGGCATGTGCTCTCAGAGCTTCCTCTTGCCATCTGGTCTGTCTCGGAGAGCAGCTTTCAGGCTCCTATCTGCAACTGTCCCACCAGCGGGCTGAACTTCAACCACTATGTTTTTCTGCTTGTCCACTGTTTCCCAGTCCCTCAGGAAAACAAACAAAAAAGGCCACAAACAAACAAAAACGGCCAGAGAAACAACAGAGAAAACGGGAAGGGAAGGGAAGGGAAGGGAAGACCATTCTTCAGATTAGGACAACAGCAAACAGACACCGAGGCTGGTGATTAAAAGCCCCAACCCACGTCCCGCAGCCCCAGAAGGGAGGAGGAACTACAGGAACACAGTGGAACACAAAGCCCGCCCAGCCGCCGCGGGAGTTAGGCATGGTTCGGCTGCGCTTGTGTCCAGCGCGTCTCTGTGGCGCAATCGGTTAGCGCGTTCGGCTGTTAACCGAAAGGTTGGTGGTTCGAGCCCACCCAGGGACGGGGCGTRATTTTCTTTCGGAGCGTACGAGTGTTTTTTTCTTGTTGCCAGACGCAGCGGCTGTAACTGGCTCGCGCCGCCTTTATTCTCCTGGGAATTGCTCGAGACCCGCTTTTGGATCCAGAATGTCGCTCTTCCTGCCGCGCCGAGAATAGTTTCACCCATAAGATGTGCCAGCGGTGGGGCGCCGTCAGATAGTCAAGGGGCACTGCAGGAAACATTCCCTGCATGTGGAGTTTCCGTAGTGTAGTGGTTATCACGTTCGCCTAACACGCGAAAGGTCCCCGGTTCGAAACCGGGCGGAAACACTATATTTTTTTCCCCTTCCCGTGTCACCCCCGACGTCACTCTTCCTGGTTTCTCCTTTAGAGCGCACCGGCGAACGCGTGGGCACGTTCCCCCCTYGGGAGTGGGAGAGGGCGAGCAGCTTCCTGGGCTGCGGCGGGGCCAGGAGGGAAGGAATAAGGGTGGGGTTGAAGGTTTGATGCAGCTTCGCTTCACTCCCGTGTACGGGCCCCTCGGCAAACGCGTTTTCCCTGGGGGCGGGAAATGAGGCTCAGCTGAAACGGTGTGAATATCAGAAAAAAATCATCAGAAAACTCGAGACAAAAACTACAGCCCTCTGCTTTGGGCATTACAGAAGCCCCTTTAGATAGTAACTTACATAAAAAGGGTAATATAGACCTGTGTCCAGGGAGAAGCATCTCCTGAGGATTTCTTTGGCCTTTTTCTTGAAAACATAGGCTGGAGACATCCGGACCCTCTTTCTTTACACTGCTTTCCCAGTATTTCCTTCATCAACCCTTTGGCTCCACCGTGTTCTTCTGGCTGTGCATCTTCAGCATCTCCCTGACAAACAACTACACCTAAACGCTGTTGGTGCACAGAAGTGCAAAACTAAGCCTCACTCTCCCTCAGTCTTGTTATCCCAGTAACTTTCTCTCTGGTTTTGYCTGGATCCTGTCTTAGATCTTTGCTTAAGACTGTAAGTTCTTCCACTCCAAAACCGAATCCTGGATTTAAAGCATAGCATACCCTTAAGGGCTGCGTAAACTGCTCAAAAGGTAACATGCTTTGCTTTGGGCATGAAGAGACTCACATAAAGAGCAGCTGTTTAGCTTTGCAAAAGGAACATAAGCCAGACAATTGCTCTCATCGATACATTTTCAGAAAGGGATTAATTATTTAAAGCAAAAAAAAGAAGTTATAGAAGAATAAATGGCAGTAGTCAGCCATGAAAAACATCAAGATTAGATTTGTAATCAGCACCACAGTAGATTTCTAGAACTGTGCTCTAGCAGGTATACAGCTAAAAATCCATCCAGGCAGCTCTTTTGCAGATGTGTTGGTTTCTTGTAGGCAGGATGTGAGAAGGCAGCCCTATTTTTCACCCTTTATGCTGCTTTAAGAAGTGTTTGAATATATCATCAAGGAGTAAGATCTGAATCACAGCACCATCTCTGCAGAGCTGATTCTGAACTTTAAGTGCCATGATTGTGCTTTCCCAATTCAGAAGATGCAGACTCACAAGGCTCTGCAGAGGGACCTGGATTGATGGACTGAGACCAATAGTACAAGGTTCAACAAGACCAAGTGCTGAGTCCTGCACTTGGGTCACAATGACCCCATGCAGTGCTACAGACTGTGGGCAGAGTGGCTGGGAAGTGCTCAGKTGAAAAGGACCTGGGGGTGCTGGTCAACAGCAGCTGAACATGAACCAGCTGTGCCCAACTGGCCAAGAAGGCCAATGGCACTCTGGCCTGGATCAGCAATGGTGTGGCCAGCAGGACCAGGGCAGGGACTGTCCCCCTGTACTGGGCACTGGTGAGGACACACCTTGAATTCTGCGTTCAGTTTTGGGCTCCTCACTGTAAGAATGACATTGAGGGGCTGGAATATGTCCAGAGAGAGGCAATGGAGCTGGGGAAGGATCTGGAGCACAAATCTCATGAGGAGTGGCTGAGGGAGCTGGGGGTGTTTAGCCTGGAGAAAAGGAGGCTCAGAGAGACTTTATTGCTCTCTACAACTAGTTGAAAAGAGGGTGCAGCCAGATGGGGAGTGGCCTCATCTCCCAGGTAACAAGTGACAGGATGAGAGGAAATGGTCTCAAGCTGTGCAATGGGAGGTTAGATTGGATGTCAGGAATAATCTCCTCTGAAAGGATGGTTAGGCACTGGAACAGGCTGCCCTGGGAAGTGATGGAGTCACCATCCCTGGAAATGTTCAAAAAACATAGATGTGGCATTTGGGGACATCATTTAGTGGTAAAGATGGCAGTGCTCAAAGTCATTAGACTTTGGGAAATTCACCCTAGAACACTAATAAATCTTCCATAATACAGTGGCCAGCTTCTGATCACTACCTSTGCTTGCTCTATGTCCACCTAGCACACTTGTGATTGACAAAAAAAAACCCACTACAACACTTAATATTCTCTTAACGGCAAAGAAAAACTTGCATTTTAAAATTAGTCTTACTATAAAAATGTCCAGTAACGTTCCTAATTCTGACCAGTTTCTTTGGTAATGGGGTTTTCATTCAACCTCAGCTGAATTCTCACTTGGATTAGAGGCAGTAAAACATTTATAGAAACAAACTAATCTGCACCTCATCATCTTTAGTTTCCTGTTTCAGAAAAAAAGGCAGCCAGGAACAGATTTATCTTCATACCTAGTTTAACCTCAAGTGCTATTTGTTTGCTCTTAGAGCTTCTATATATACCTGTACCCACACTGAATCCCATGCAGCTGCAGACCAAGGACTCCCAGCCTCAGTTTGTGGAGGGAGTGGCAGTGGTGATCAGAGGTCCTTCCTTCTGTCTAGGTGTATCTGCACAGCAGGTGTATCCCCACACCCTCCCTCCTCTGCTATTAACCTTATTATAAACCTTACCACCAGAACCTCCTCATCTTTTAGCAGGTCTCTTCCTCCTGCTGCCCTGTGCCTTCTGCATCAACAACTCTGGGCTCACTCACCCCTGGGTCTGTGTTGTGTCCTGAGCCAGTGGTAAAGGAGGTCCCTTGTCACAGCTGCAGGTCACTGCAAYTGTGATGGATAAATCAAACTCTCATTTTGATCAGCTTTTTTTTTTGTTTTAATGAGGGAAATCACAAATGGGTAAACATTTCACCAGCAGTACGCCAGCCCTTTACATTCAAAATCCATTCACTTGTTTTCTATTGTAACATTATCAGTTACAGTATTTAAAACAAAGAACCTCAATTCCACAAAAACACATGTTTCCAGAATGAAACTATTCACTGCCTGAAGTAACAGTTTGATAACAACGTACCCAATTGCAGCAGAAATAAGTTGAGTTCAGGGCCACTTACAGTTTTTCAAACACTTTTTAGAACTAGTTCAAACAATCCAAGACMATTAAAATCTGTGGTCATGCCTTGTAATAATATTATGTTCAACTGCATCTACCGAAAAAGACTGAGCACTTAGTGTTTTGAATTTGGAATCTAAAACAATGAAAAAATGCAGAACACCTAAACATCTAAAAATGCCTGATATAAAGACTTGCTGATAAAATCCTTTATATTTTCAATTACAGCCAATCTAACTTGGCATATAATACCCTCAGCTTTGTGTCTATGCATTTAAAAAAGATTCCCATCTAACAAAATGAAAGCTATACAACTCCAGAAACACCAAGGTGTGAATCCTTCTGCTTACTCACTGCTATCTTGCCACAGTTTTCCATTACTTTCTTCCTTCTGACCTTGCCTCTCCCTGGCATCTCACATACGGATGGGGGTGCACTGCTTGAGTCATGAAAAACTCCAAGTGACAACATTAATAGGCATTAACTTACAGTTAAACTAATTCTGAAAAACCTTTCTTTTATGAAATGGTTTTGCAGCTAAGAGTAACTAAAAGGTACATCTGATATTCTTTCTTAGTGATGCAAACTCTGGACCATATCTTACTAATTCTAATTTAAAAAATAACCTGGCTCAGAAGAATATTCTGCAAAATTATATTTGCAGTTGCCCACAAGGAATAGGACAATTTCTACTATGTATCCATCTTTTCTTGTATCCAAGGGTTGTATACGTAAGCATGAGCTTGTAGAAGAGTAATTCTGTAATACATCATCAAAACTACTGAATTATTTCTCAAACTTGCTGGAGTATGGATGTTTTTCATATTAAAAGAAGCAACAATTAAGACTCATAGGAGCTTTTAATTAAAAATCATCATCATATCTGACAGCTAAAATAACTGCTTCTCAGAAAAATAAAATTCATTAAACCGCGATTTGCTTGTTACAATAAAATGTTAAGGAAAAACATACCTCAAATGTAAACTGTTCAATTACAGCCAGAGTGCAATTAAACTAGTTATATAATATAATTTAGTAGTGCTTTGTTTCAAAATATACATAATACTGAGAAAATACTTAAACCCAAGAAACCAAGTATTCACCAAGTTTCAAACAGAGTTTCATCAAAATGAGGTAAATCTAGGTCACCTGCCATTGAGTTTGGTGCTGAAATGGAGAACAGGTCTTCAAGGATATCATCCCTTGTAGGACTTTCAAAAGAAAGTTTTTTCACACTGTGTTTGTTTATTGCATCAAGCTCCAAATTAGCATCCTTTACAGGACTGTAATAATTGTGGTCCTCACTTGTCACTGCTGCCTGTGGCACACTGGCCTTCTCATTGGACACAACTGTCCCCACGCTGCTGTCCACCATTTCCATGTACATACACTCATCTTCGCTCTTCGGATTCTCCAAGGAAGTGACAGTTGAAGCAGGGGACAGTAACTCTGCCAGTATTTCATCAGTGTTATTCTGGCCAGTGCACCCTGGCACTGAGTTAGCACTGAATTCAGATTCATTACCTGTGACATCAATCTGATATTGCAGCTCCCTTAAAAAGCTCTGCAATAATTCACTGTCATTTTGAGATTCAATATGTGATGGGGTGCTTACATCTTCACTCACAGGTTTTTCCTGTTTCATCTGTTCCACTGCTAATCTATCCAATGAAGCCAACTTCTTCTTTTTAGCATTAAGTTTTTTCAACAATTTTAGGCGAAGCTTTTTTGTTTTGTCACTATCTGACTCTTCTGCCTTCCCAGAGTTATAGCCAGGTGAAGGGTACTGAGTCACTTTACCCGAGGTACCCAAAGCACTTCCCGACTTATTCCAAGCTGGACCTACAACACTGCTATGATTTGCTGTTGGAAGACAAGTGCTTTGAGAAAAACCTTTGTAATTTAATAAAGGATGAGTATTATTACTCTGAAGAGCCAGTAACTTTGGGGTCTCAGTTGTGTTCTTTGTACCTCTGCTTTGAAATCCACCAAAATTACTTGCACCCTTAATTGGCAGCCGTACTTCACTAATTTTTTGCAGTGAGGAAATTCTGCAGCTTTTGTCATTCTTAAGAGCTGAGGCACTTGAAGGCATAAAAGAAGTATTCTTGTTTAATAATTTCTTTACCCAGCTTCCTACAAATCCTCCTTTTTGGTCTTTGTGCAAAGGTTGAACTGAATTATTGGCAGCRGAAGAACTGTGAGCTTGAGAATTAACTACAGTTTTGCTTGCATCTTTCAAGTCAGGTGACTTTTGTATAGTATTTTCTACTGCTAACAAGTTCTTGTTTAACAGTAGATCTGAATTTAGTCCATGTCCTCTGTAAGCTAGGTTAGTTCTGTCATTTGTCCAAGAAGGTGATGAGTCAGATGAATCAGGGTTATGGTTTTCAGGCACAGCAGGAGAAATACTTACTGGGTTCAACTCTTGTAGAGGTAAGCCAATACTGGAATTTTCATATAATATGGATTTATTGCTCATAGCTAGACTAGTTCCAGCAAACTCTCCTGTATGTGGAGTGCTAAGTGAAAAAGCTGGTTCTTGCTGTTGTGGTGTGCCYCTTTCATCAATGAGGTTATTTCCCACCATCCGTCCATTCGGCAGTGATTTATCTTCCGAGTCAACTAGAATTTCTTCAAGCATCAGTGTTACAAGATCACCATCTGCCAGATTTTCTAAGCTATGAGGAGCAATACTTTCATCTCCAGCTACTTGCTGCTGTTTCTTCTCTGGAGTTCTCACAGAATGCTCTTTGCAGTGTTCTGCAGGTGTTTTGCCCACAATGTTATCAAAACCACAGTGCAACACTGTGGAATTTGACTGTACATTATTCAGAGAAAAATCTTCAATCTTTTTACTCTGGAACTGGGAATTCAGTTCTTCTGGCACATGTGATGCTTTCTTTTCCCAGATAGCAATATGAATCTCTGAAGGAGGAACTTCAAATCTTTCATGTCTCTTGCAATATGGTCCCTTTAAATCATCACATTCAAGCCAAGTTCCTGAAAAATAGCAACCAGTRCAGAGACTCAGAGACTTTTAAAACTGAAGTCACTATCCTCATACTTGTCAAGTATTTTCATTAACCCATTTCTCTGACAAACAGAAAATAGAGGGTTTTTTTTCCTAGAGAAAACTGTAAAAAGGTCAAACACAACTAAAACTTGAAGCAATATTATTAAAGGTCAGAGTAGGTCAACCATAAAACAAAGCCAAGTTCTTTTTTTGGCTGAAACATCTTGTGTGAAAATACCCTCACAGGTCTCAGGTAACCACCTCTCAAATTAAGTTTTTCTGTAGACCTTTTCATTGCCTGGGTGGGAAGCACAGGGGGTTAAAAGAAACTCTTCATTTTAATACTCTTGTCTCATCACCTGCAAACTGTTCATCTACAATGAAAGAATATTTTACAGCTTTAAGAATTTAAAAATAGATATGTATGACATATAGGAGGTTCTTAACTCTGCATTTCCCAGCTGCTTCCTCTTCCCATTTCTTTTTATTCTCTAGCAGTATGACTTAGACAATTTTCTGTTGTCACAATACTTTGAAAGACTGTGCTCCATGCTCTCTACAGAGGCACGAATATCAAAATATCACCTTTTCACCTTCTCTCATTATGGATCTTCCATCAACGGTACAACTATCTTACTGTTAGTAATGTTTCTAACATGAATTTGTACCTCAGGGGTGGGAGGCACCATAAAGTTGAGAAATAAAAAATAACTTAATTCATTGCTCATAGTACCATAGGTTACCTTGCTTCCAGCCAAGAATGGATGAATCACTGGTTTAAAAATAAACAATATTATTTGTTCTACAGTCAGGGTGAGACTGCATTTTTAAACTTTTATGAAGTTATGAAAGGAAAAACTCCATAGCTAAATTATTTTTTCTAGTGAATGCACTATAGGACAGCACACTCCTGAACAAATCAGTTAAACCAAACCAAAACCTTCACTGTGACAAACAAGTTTCCCAATTATTGACAACATTTTAATATGAAGTTTAAAATGCAGACAAAAGAAATCTTTGTTATTTTATATTAACTGTTGAGACTACTGCAGTAACCCATAAAACACAATTTCATGTACCCTCATGAAATATTATGGTAGTTAAGAACCATAAAACTCTCTCTCTTATGAGGAAAGGCTGAGAGAGTTGAGCCTGTTCAGCTTTGAGAAAAGATAACTGAGAGAGGACCTCATCAATGTTTATCAGTATCTGAAGGGAGGTGTCAAAGGATGGACAACGGTCTGCTTGGTAGTGCAGAGCACTAGGACAAGAGGCAATGGGCAGAAACTGATGCACAGGAAGTTCCACCTGAACATGAGGAAGAACTTCATTGTGCAGTGACCATACACTGCAACAGGCTGCCCAGGGAGGTTGTGGAACTTCCYTCACCAGAGACACTCAAGAACCATCTGGACACAATCCTGTACCATGTGCTCCAGGATGACCCTGCTTGAGCAGGAAAGTTGGACCAAGTGACCTCCTGGRGTTCCTACCAACCTGACCCATTCTGTAATTCTTACCATCAGGATTCAAAGACCAGCTTATGAAGTGCTTCTTATCTGTTTGATACTGAACAATAGATGTTATTTGGTACGTGTCTTCCTCAAACTGAAACGAGTATTTCTCCAGGTTGTTATGTGGCAAGCCTTCCACAAAATGTAACATTAATATTGAGGGTACTCTGACAAAGAAACAACAAAGAACCAGTTTATTACAACAGAACAGTGGCAAAAGTTCCTAATGAAAGAGTACGTGGTTCTAAGAATATRTGGTTCTGCCTTTACTATTCTACCTCCTCATAGGACTCTTCAGATTGTAAGTGTAAAGGGAAAAGAATATCACAAATGGATATTCCATTTAATAATAGATTAGGAGAAAAAAAAAACAAACACCAAGTAAGTGATTAAAGAAGTGAGGAAAAGCTGAAAAAAACCACCCCTGTGCCATAAAAACAGTAGCAAGGGACATTGTTCTCAAGTCAAATAAGTAAACGAATGATCAAACAACAGTTTTATCTACAGCAGGGACTGTGGAAAGGTTGACACTGGGTATCAGTTGTCTGTATTTACTACCTGACAGTTAAGTATTTATGACCTAACTCAAATACATGTGGGGGTAAGCATGTTAAATATTGTTCTGTTTCATTAAACATTATTAAACACTATTTGCCATTTCAGCTTTTAAGAATTATCTAAAATCTTTAAAAGTGAGTATTTATCAGAGTTTAAGGTTTAGAATCTCTGCAAAGCCACAGTAATAGYATGGTTTCAAAAATCATATGTTCAATAAATGAAGTTTCAGAACTGTATGGAGTTTACTTTTCRATTCACATATTCAAACTTACTTTTCCAAGATCATCTGCCGTCTTTGAGATGAACTACCACAGTTATTACATGGTCCAATATGAACAGCATTAAGTGGATGCCAATCAGGGATTATATTTGTAAATGTTGTTAGCGTTTTCTTCAATCTGGACACACACACACACACACACACAAAAAAAGAGTAAGCTGAGCTGGTAATCAGAAAACCAGAAATACACATACTGTACCAGGAGAAAAGAAGTTATAAAAACACTATGGCAAACCCAAATTCTATTCATGTTCATGCCATTTGTGTGGAATTCACTGTGACAGCATCACATCCAAACCAGCCCTGAATTTAGTTCTGCCAAACAGCATCAGTCACAATTTGTTTTCAGCAGTTCTATGATCTTCAGTTTCACATTATTTTATTATTTGCTTTTTCTCCCTTTTCATGTTATCTGTTTCCTTTCCAACATAAGACAGAGCTTGTACCAGTATCTGCATAATTTACTAGGTAATACAGTATCTCAAGAGGAGATGAAAGCAGCACCACATTACCTGAGAATCCCTATTATACAAGGTCTTGTTTTCAAAAACCAATACATTCATAGCAGAGATTACACAGAGGTTACATTGTATGAAAATACAATGTACGGGATATTAAAGTGAAGTAAAATAGTTTATTCATTCATTAGCCATAGAAAGGACTTCCTCTATATTCAACCTAAACTAAATCTTTCAACTTTTAAAAAAAGCACAGTATGTAACAAAGTCTCTTGAAGACATCCTATTAACCACAGCTACAGATTAACTTTCAAGAGTAACATATAGCATAAATCTCATTTCACTTGGGGATCTAGAATTTTATTACATAAAATCTAAGATAGTGGAAAGAAACAGATGTTTTTCAAATTAAATGAGGTGTCTTCTGAAGGTGTATCTCTCTGCTGACTTTAAAAGGAGCTTAAATKACTGGCTTGTACCTGCAGCTACGCAGAACTAAATCAATTCTCAAGAAATTATTTCCCTGTAATACTGTTTTGAAAKAGATAAACAGTGTTAAGAGTATCTATGATTGTTTATAATCCAAATGAATATTACAGGTATGCTTCAATAGCAAAAGTGTATTAGGCACATATTCTTTAGGACCAAAAAATAGAACTCAGCAAAATATCAGAGTGAACGTAGCCAGAGACTCACACTGTTACCCATTGTTTCTTTTTTAACTGATAACAGTCCTTTAAAACATGGAATAGCAGTAAACTATTCGAAAATGAAAAAGCAGATCATGTGAAACTTCACCAACAAGCTTAAACTGTCYAAAATCTGGAAATCTGAAGAAAACRAACTATTATATACAGATTTTAAAAGGTAAGGCAGAACAGTTATATAGAAGCTACTTAAATAAAAATCTCACCTGTCTTGGTATTTGTGGCCACAACATGCACATCCAAACTTCCATGAAAAAGAGTGCAAGAATAGTTTCTCAGCTTGTTGATCCAGTTGCAAGAGCAGCCGAAGTGCAAACACTGGATTCTCCATGTTACCTTCAAAGATGAAGCAGAAAAAATGGTCACTGAATATTTGAAATCACCTTTCAGTACCTTAAAAAGGAAGAGAAGCTTATTACTATGATTTAAATTTCAGTTATTATTTCAAGGCTCTATTTCTAATTCTCACAGCAAAGGGATTGATCCATGTTATTAGGTTGTTAACAATGACAATTTCATGACCACAGCATAATTACAAAGATTATCTGCTCTCTAAAAAGTCAAAATGGGCAAAGGACAAATCAGATGATCATACTGCAAAGTAAGTGCACAACACCAATAGACACAATTGTATTCCCATACTTTCTTGTATGCATACATACACACATACTTCCATGTATGACACAAAAGGCTTTACATCTAGGGTTTCCTGAAAGTAATTACTGAGTTCTGCACTAATTACTTACCCAGTTCACACCTAAGCTGAGGCTGAAGTTGTGTAAACATTACATTTCTGATTTCATTGAGATGAGATTCTGCTTTTGGAAGAACATCTAAAGAAAAAAATACACGTCTCATGTATTAATGTGTAACAGCCCCCACACCTTTTCATACACATTTGTACCCCCAACGTGCACTCCCTCTCTGCAAATCAATGCCTTTCACATTGACTCATACTTGCCTGTTGGTAGAACAGCCAAGTCTTGGTATTAGTTGGTTTGAAAACCAGAGAAAAATTTACACAAGTTASTCACATTTTACTGCAGTCTGCTGACTAAAAGCTACTTGATCTGAAACTATGACTAAGAGCAGTGTACTAACAGCTACGTAGTAACAATATTTAAGGATAGTGTAACCACCCATTAGAAATCCTGCAGATTTAGAGATTAAAAAAATACTTTAAAATCTAAACACTAAGATCAAAAGCATGAAAATTTGCTTACATGCCTTCTAATGTTATACAATTTAAATAATAAAACATTTAAATGTATTATTTCAGATTAAACACCAATTTCCTAAGTGAGCCTTTAAAATAGTAAAAATAATTTTAAATTGAAAAACTTATTTTTACTTTATGCATCTTAGCATGTATTTTCATATATTTTCATTTTTCATTATACGTCAGTTACGTTATTTCAACACAAGCACATTCTTTAAGCACAAGCAAGAATGTAATTTCTACTACACAATCATGATCATGCCCTGCAGAAGTTTAAGCAAATGTTTAGAATAGCTATTGAAACTGTTTATTACATATAAATTCTGTGTATCCAAAAAAAGCAGTTTCTGGCAGCTATATTCCTTTTGATTGTTTTTAAAAAYAGTATGCAAAAGACACTGTAAAATTACACAGAAGAGCACAATAAATTCTACACCTATTCTCCACAATACTCTTCATCCAATCCCCTCTCCACTGTTACCCAAATAAACTAATTTGTTTTGCAGCAATTGAAATGAAAAGGTGTAAGTTCTCTCAAACAACACTGTACTCCAACACTTACCATCCCCATTTAAGTGTTACTGCACACCAGAGCTCCTTTGCAAATACAGCCCAGCAAAGAAAAACATTTCAGACAGGTTCTAGGATGGCACAGGGCTTCCCAGTAACAGCTGAACACCTGAACTCAAGCAGCCTCTCTAGCAAGTACGGTACATGAACTAGTTCAGAACATTTTGGGGTTTTCTTCCCTGCTTTGTAACATGTATTAAACCACTTGTGATACACATTATTTTTCCCAGGAAAGATACATTAAAGTTATCTGTTGTGCGACTGTGGTCTATATATACAAACACACCAACAGAATGTCTATTGAAAATCATGAGAGGTACTGGCTAACCAGAGCTTTATTATTTCTGTAAGAGATGATGTCTTAGAAGTTTAGACTTAGGACACGAATGGCCCTGTTGAAGAGAATAACAAAACCATGACCTTCATTTAAGAGTTGAACAGAATCCACAGAAAAAAAATGATCAAAGGCCACACCAGTAATATCCTACTTTGAGTGCAGCTGTGCTGCCTCAAAGGTTCCCCCAGTTGTCCATCACAGCCCAGAGCTTAGATGTTACAGTCCTCAAACCTGTTATGCTGAGCTGACCTGTTAATACCCTGCTGAGGATTACTGAGTACTCACTAGCCCTTTCCAGACCATATGATCCAGGTTAAGGTGTTTGACTGCTTCCAACTGAAGCAGGTTAGGAGGCACTGTCACCTGCAGCAGAGCTTGCAAACCTCAGGGGAAGCATGCCTTCAATGAGCACAGCTGGAGCCAGAAAAGAACTTATGTTCGCAGCTTTACTATTTTTGGAGTGCCAAGGCAACTGCCCATTTGCACATGGTGATAAACCACAACAGAAATTATTTTGAAAATAAAAATTAGAACAGTATGCTAACATGTTAACCAACAGAGTGGAAAGTAACAAAGAGTGAATTACATAAATAATGTATAGTATCTTTATGTTGGATATGACCAAAAAAATTTAAGAGATGCTTGGTTTGATGCCTTCAAGAGTGCATGGTTACCAGGATTCTACTAGATAAAGCACASTATTGTGCAAATTCATGGTAATAGTTGTAACCCATTCTTTTGTGATCTTGAAATAGAACAGGGGCATATATGTGTGCTGCTTTAAATTCCACATATTTATAGCAGATCAYTCTGACTATGAGAAAACAGCAGCTAAATATACTCACCTTTTACTTTACTCCTTTTRCAGGAATACAGAAGAATAGATGCTTGATGGTATTTCTTTAAGAGCTTCTGAAGCAAACATTTTCCATCATTATATTCTTCTGCTAGAGCAAACTTTAATGTTTCTAAGTGTACCAGTGCTGACAAAATACAATCTAACCAACAAAGATTATGTACGTTTCTCCACTGAAGACACACATCTCTGTCATTAGAGGAACCTTTATCCTCTTTGGGTGAAATTTCAGATGCTGTTAACAAAAGCTTTGAATCTGGAAAGGGTTGTGTACAAGTCTTTGGTGGACTACCAAGTCTTTCTTGGTAGTTGTTGGTCTTGGTGGTTGTTTCAAAATCCACCTTCTGCATGCAGGACCCCACGCTGYTGCCGGGGATTTGTTGGTCATTTTGCAATACATCATGTAGGCTTGCCTTGGGAACGCACGAGACATCCTGGTAGCATTTCACCACAGARTCTGTATTAATGGTGTGCTTAACATTTAACACACTGTTAGTTCTTGCTTTTTTTGGATCTGATTCAACAGCAGAAAAGTCACTGGTATCACCCAATTTCCTTTTCTTGTGAGTAGATGGAACTTGATAATTTTCTGAAGCAGTAGAAGTAATTATGCTGTTTAATGGTTTATAACCAAGTGGGTAGATACACTGAGGGAAAGAAAGAAGGTTACAGTGAAATCTGCAAAGCAATTTCAGGTGAACAAGAGCTAAAGTAAGTACAAAACATACTTTTAAGATGGAATGTTGAATCATAGAATCATAAAATGGCTTGGTTTGGAAAGTCCACTTTCCACTGGACTAGGTTGATTAGAACCCCATCCAACSCAGCCTTAGGGACTTCTGTAAAGTGATTTCTAATTTATTAAATTAAATTTAAATTGTTTTAATTAAATCAATACACATATTCAACATACGAATGATAGGAAGGATATTTTACCTCACTACTGTCTTATAACCAACTGTGAAATAAATGTACCAGTAGTGACAATTCAACACTACTTTTTCAATAAATTCTTCCAACCTCTGCAAATAATCTAATTTTGCTAGGGAGAATCCTCTTGTCCTGTTCTGCTAAATCCATTCCCTTAGGGTACAGATTTGACATTATCATCTCATGCTTGAGAAATGGTAGTGTATCTTTCAGGCTAGCTCAATGAGCAGGTGGCAACCAGAATATAAACAAATCCCTGTTACCAATCTCCAGAACTATAATTAGTTAAATTATTATTATTATTTAAATTAGTTATAATTCTCCAGAATTATAATTAGTTAAAAGCAGGAAAGAATAGGACAAGCAACTCTGAGGTCTGAGACCTGTATCTAGTCTAAATTTCTAATTTAGGGCACCAGTCTATTTGAGATTGCTATACCCTCACCACATGCACAGAGCAGTGAAGGGAGAGGCAGCAAAATCACAACTCAAATATTAAGAAGCACAAAAATCCAGGTAAGGTTAAAAAGGAAAAAAAAATTAAGAAAACATTGTAATCATAAYTATAAACCTACTTGCATTACCCAAACATAAAGAAAGGAAAATGGGAGATTCACACCTGCTAGAGTTGTGCATCAGTTACGTGGACCATTAAATATTCACCTTCTGACTTGTACAAAAATTTATTTAGCACCACTTGTGGTCCCTTGCTGCATAAAAAAGCCTCTCCTTTATTTCATTAAAATTTACTTTTTAATGCTTTAGGGTTGCTACCTAGGCCTAAACAGTGCATATACACAGGTTAGTTACATCTTTCCCTATAGGCAAACAAATATCCTCRGACTTGAAGGGGTCCTATTTCAACAGTCTGCTTACCACCAACAAAATCAGGAACTTACTGAGGTGTTACTGCTGAAGGTAAAGGCCTCTGCATGACCAATTTAAAATCTTTGTTAGTGTAATACCTGAGGATTTTCACAAAGAAAAATGGACTCCTGAAAATTGAGGCGGTAAGCCCGTAAGCCTTGGATCTGACCCTTCTCTCTGCAGACTGGACAATACTCATGTGCAGTTGTTTCAGCAGGAACCCTGTTCTAAAATAAAAACAAGCCAAGAAATATAAAGCAGCTTAAATTTATGTATTTCATACATTATCCTATGTATCCCATACCTTATGTAYGTAAGACATACATATCAAGATAAAAAAATCAATGTGCAACTTCTAGATATAATACAGTACAAAAAAGCAAACTATATTGGTTTCTTTTTTATTATTTTTAATATATTTGTATGTTTTAACCACACATTAAATAAATTTATGTTTTTATTTAAATATTCAAATAAGGTGTCTTTAACAACACAATTATGCATATTTTATTCTACTTGAACTACACCATAGGACCCTTACTGCCAGGGAACACAAGCTCAGATCTTAGAAAGACAAATCACTTTTCACAGGAATGCAAACAGGTGTAAAAATAGTGCCAGTAAAAAAAATCATAGGCACATATTTACTTAGAATAATCTTTCGCCATTGTTATAGATTTCCGTGGAAAATAATTTTGCAAATTTTTTCTTTTTTGTAAAATTAAGACCAATTAAAAATCTCTCAAAACAGAGAAAAATATGAACTTTGCACATATGTAAAACAAGTGTCAACTGACTTTTCCCAAATACCCCACCATGTGGAGGGTCGCTTTCCCTACACCAGTCCCTTCTCCAATCACTTGCAAACCATTTGCAGTCTTCTGGGTATCCATCATTCTGAGCCACTGGCTAATTTATGTCACTTGTAACAATGTCATGACCACTAACGATTTTTCAAAGACTCCTGAAAAATAAGAAGTGAATAAAACAATTAAAGAAAAATTAGACTGAAGTCTGGGGGTAAAAAAAGTACCAACAACAATGCAGCTTGCATAATTTGAGGAAATTAATTCAGAAGAGTATTCCCTAAACTGAAAATATTTTTTTTGTTCTAGTGCGGATTACAAACTCAAAACTATAAATCAAGAACTACAAGGATCCAATTCTGCTCCTGCTGACTTCCAATGAAACTAACCAGAATAAATATACATCTCTTCAAGAGGCATAAGGAAGTTAAGGTAAGCTGAATTCCAAAGTCATCGATGTAGTATTTTTCCTTCAGCCACAACTGTTCCCTTTTCATTACTTCACTGAAAAGCATTCTCTCTCACACCATGATGCCCTTTCAACCTTGTCATACAATATAGCAACAACTCCTTGCAAAAAAAAAATTTCGCCAGGCACTGAGACCGCTGTAAACACTAGTTCAACCTAAACCGACTTACAACATTTGGCAAGAAAAGACCCTACAGAATTGCATGGAATGCTAAAAACCATCAAAGCATGAATTTAAAAAGCACAGCAGAAAAACAAAGCTACTCATTTCAAATCAGACCCCAACGGCAACTTAAAAAGTGGATCAAAATGAGATGATGCCTTAATGACACTACTCAGTGTGTCCAGCAGCACTTTTCACGTTTACCAGGCTGCAGCATGCAGAGAACGTATTCCCTGACTTATGAAACTAATGGCTGTAATAGAAGGCCAGAATATAAAGATATCAATCCATGTGCCTTGGAGCATGTTTAGTTTTGAAAGTAATGTTGTAGGGTGCACAAGAAACAGCACGGTCCCAACCTCATGCAAGGTGAAAACGAATGAATTAGCTCAAAGTATACAAGCCTGTTGGTGGATAAAGGAAAGACAAGCACCCTGACTTTTCACACAGCAGCAATAGCACTATCACACTGCAACTCAACTTTATTATCATATATTTAGTCTAGCCAGGAAGTTGACTTTTGTATATAATTACAAGTTGTACAGATACCAACTGATATCACAGGTTATATCAGATATCATACTAAAACACTAAACTTTACTGTTCAAAGGACTTTCAGTCAATTCCTTGGCCTGAAACAGTTCTCCAGAGTAATTAAAAAAATGATCCCATGACAGAAACTAGAGAGAAATTTCTCACCACAAAAATTCAACACTACAAAACTGCAGGTTATTAGTTTTTAAGCATGCCGTGTTTTTTTTACATAACATATTTATTACTTTGCAAGGCCCTGTTTACCCTGTCACCTGTCTCAAAAGCAAAGTGGTTTTTTCTGGTTATGTTCACTTTGTGTTACTTCTGCTAGTTTTTTTAAAGCTTAAATACTGAGATGTATAAGATGTTCTGAGATGTACAATACCTCCTCCAGCTATAATCATCCAGCTGATAGCACCACAGTACTGGAATAAAGACTTTTATTGCTTATACAAATATAATAACATTTAAAAAAATTGATTATCCTTTTAGTTCAAAGACAAACACAACAAGCAAATAAAATGGATCTGCCAGTACTAGATATGCAGAGTGATGCCCAGGGGTCTGTCTGTACTCTTCAGAGTTTCTAAGATTACAGGAATTTATTGGTGATCTTTGCACAAGGTACAAAAACTGGGCATGAGATCAACACTGCCAAGAAACACAGCCAAGTAAAAGACTGCTGCATGAGGTACAGCAACAACTCATTGTAGTCAAGTGCAGTAACTGCATTGCAGACAGGAAAGTACACAGGAATGCACTTTCAAACTTACTGGGTAATGTTCTAAACAATGCTACTTTCCCTTTCAGTCTGAATGTTGAAAAATGTAATGTAAAACATGCTATGGATGTGGGATAATTATAATTATGCTATAGCTTGGCTTTCTTGAGTAGATGGGTTGATATAGCAGCTCATTGCTGCAGAATAGAGGCATGTCTTTTCTCTTTTATTTCCCTCCCCTCAACCTTCCCTGACAGCTCACACCCTCATCAGACTTTCCATGAGCTAAATGAACTCACAAAACAGCAGAAAATGTATTAAAGCACATGCTTTTTCTGCTATTCCACTGAGTTAAAYTGGCCTATGAAACTCCACTGACTTAGGAAGGCAGAAGACAGAACATAAGTAAAATATGAAGGAGTGGAGAGATACGGGTTTGAAATAGAACTGTTAAATGGCTAAGGAATTGGCTGGATGGCCACATCCAAAGAGCTGCAGCTCAACGTACAAAGCACAAACCAGTAATGAGTGGTGGTCCCACATTGGGACCAATACTATTTACTATCTTTAGCAATGAGACGCAGACTGTGGGATCAGGTGGCCCCCAGTAAGTTTGTGGATGGCATGAAGCCAAATGGTGCGGCTGAGAGGTTAGAGGAAGGAGATGATATTCAGAGGGATCTTGACAAACAGGCCGGTGCCAATCATATGAGGTTCAACAAAGCCAAGTGCAAGGTGCTGCACCTGACTCGGGGCAAACCCTGGTATCAACACAGCCTGGGTGAACCGACTGGGAGCAAACCTGCAGAAGACTTGAGGTTACTGGTGGTTGAAAAACTGGCCATGACTCAGCAACGTGTAATTGCAGCCCAGAAAGCCAACTATATCCTAGGCTGCATCAAGAACAGTGTGGCCAGCATAGCAAGGGAAGGGATTCTTCCCCTCCACTCTGCTCTGGTGAGACCCCCACCTGAAGTGCAGGGAACTGAGTAATGATGTGGACCTGCTGGAGTGAGTCCAGAGGTGGACAAAGGTATCAGAGGGCTGGAGCACCTCTCCTATGAAGAAAGGCTGAGAGAATTGCAATTGTTCAGCCTGGAGAAGAGAAGGCTCTGGGGAAACCTTACTGCAGCCTTTCAGTATTTAAAAAAGTCTTATAGGAAAGAGATAGAGACCTTTTATCGGGTCTGTAGTGATAGTACAAGGTGCAGTGGTTTTAAATTTAAGAAGGGCTGATTTAGATTGAATGAAAGGAAGAAATTCTTTATGCTCAGGATGGTGAGGACATTGGGAGAGGTTGCCTAAGGAAACTCTCAATATCTTATCATTGGAAGTGTTCAAGGTTAGGTTGGACAGACTTTTGAGCAACCTGGTCTAGTGGAAGGTGTCCCTGCTCACAGCAGTGGGGTTGGAACTAAATGATCTTTAAAGGTCCCTTCCAGCTCAAACCATCACATGATTCCACAGTAAAAGGGACCTGGGCCTTTTGATAATAGCTGTACCTTGTGAAACAGTACCTTATGAATTAGAATCAATTATAAACTGCAAAAAGCAGGCAACAACACTGATTACACTTCAGTAAACATCCCTTTGTTTAAAGGCTAAAGGGACACTTAAAAATTACTTTTTAGTAAAGCACCTTACAAGTCTTGTTTCTTTCATCAAGGGGATATTAAGATTAAAAGAAACAAGTGAGGGGAAAAAAGTGTTGTTAGTTTTCCATTCTTTACACAAGAAGAAATCAGAGCATTAAGCTTTTTCTTTATCTGAGGTCATAACTACAAATATTCAAATCAAAGTCCCTCTCTCAAAAATTGACAGTTTTGGCCACAAAYGTGTTTTATTACATACAACAGTAACATCGTGGGAAAGCAATTCTCTCTACAGCACAGCCTCTAAGTACTGGGCAGAACTGCAAATCTCCATGGTGTAGGAGCAAACAAAATTCCTTTCCTGAAAACAGCCTAACACAGACTAAGCAAATAAAGATAAAACTGATGACAYTGCAGAACAAACCAGCGTGTAACATCATTACTCCACTGTTCTAAGAGTTTCTTCTACAGTCAGAGTTCTCTGAAACCTCCACATATCAACTGCTTTTATGGTTGTAGCACAAGAGATGGAGGACTACGTTTTGTTGACAAATCATTCAGCCCCTCTGAAACAGAAATGCGAGTTAAGTGTGGGAAAAACACAGCCTAAACTAGTGCACACAGCCTAAACTAGTGCAGTTTATTATAGCTGCAGGTAAGAGATGCAAGATTTCAGGAAGGCGGGCGATTTGTGTCCCAAGGCAGTAGAAATCAGAGGTACAGGGGTATGGATGCCACCTAAAGAGGGCTGGGCCGACCCTGGATTGCTGCCCTCCCTGCCGCACCAAAACGTTATCTTTCGTTGATAAAAATGATTAAAATATGGTTAAACTGCCTCCTGAGTTATTTCCCATCCAGAGTGATCCACGCGCTACGGAAAGACTGCACAAGAAAGAATTAATCGCTGCACACTAGAAAACGGAGTCAGAGGCGGATGTGTGCGGACACACGCGGTACCTCCCCGCGCGCACCTCGGACGGGCCCGCACCCTTCACCGCGCTGCTACTGACATGAAATACTCAGTCGGCATTTCGGGACCCCGACACACCGCCCCCCACCTTTCGCCCCGGCCGCACCGAACGGTCCGGGACAGGCCGTGCCCGCCACTCCCGGCGCCGGCCGCCCCCGACCCACTGGGCTCAGCGGCGCCTCTCTCACCTGCGGCGGCGGCCGCCGATCCCGGCCCCCAGCGCTGCCCCGGCCCCCAGCGCTGCCCCGGCCCCACCGCGCGGGGCCGCCACCGGCAGCTGCGCAGCTTCCGGCGCACTCCCGCCGCCATGCGGGCCCGCCCCGCCCCGCAGCTTCCGGCGCACTCCCGCCGCCATGCGGGCCCGCCCCGCTCCGCTCCGCTCCGCTCCGCCTCGCTCCCTGCAGGCAACGGAGGCGGAGCCACCTCCGGGCGGGCCCCAGACTGCGCCGAGCAGGGCCAGCAGCGTCCGAGGGAATTTCCCGCTCCCTCCCTCTCTCCCCCGCGCCCTTCCGACTTGCGCCGTCACTCACGCGGCGTGGTGGGAGGGGACGGTGGTGGGGCCGGTCCCGCACCTGCTCCGCCCTCCTCGGCGGGCTGGGGGGCGGGCGGTGGCCGCCTCGCAGCGCTCGCCCCGGTGGCGGGCGGGGCCGGTGGTTGGGGGTTGATGATTAACCTGCGGCCCGTTGAATATCTGCCTAAAGTGGCTCTCAGGGTGGGGTTTGACGTTGTCCGAGGCTCGGTACCTCGCGTGTGACTGCTTGAGACTTTGCGGCGGCCAGTTTAGCTGCTGACGCCGAAGCGCTGCGAGGATGCGCAGTTCCCTGTTGAAAATTCTGCTCTAAATCTCAGCCTCGCAGTCGTTTTTGGAGGTTTCATGCTCAAGAGGTCGAGATGATGTGGGGATCTCGGCGGGTGTCTCTGCACCAGCATCCTCGGGCTGCAGTAGCTCGGGTGCCTGTGGCTGGCGCTTGAATCCATGCTGGCCCCTTTCCCTCGGGCTGAGCTGCAAGGAGCTCAGCAGCTGCGGCATTTAGGTCAGTGCTCCGCTTCTCTTGCGTCAGGAAAGCTGTCAGCGCGGCCCCAGCAAGGCTGCTCCCCGGAGCTGCGGGAGGGAGTGAGTCAGGAGATTGTTCTAGTGATAGCACAGAAAATACCTTCTCGCTTCCTACCTGCCTCTGCTTTCCTGACGCGTTACTCCTGGCTGCGTGTTTAAAAAGCGTTTAGCCCTCTATGATTTGCGTGTGAAATTATATGTTACTATAACGGGTCCGTTGTAATATCCGTAATCTAATTTTTTGCTGTAGTTATTCCTTTAATTTGTGCAGTAATGTTTTGAAGGTTGAATTAATGTTTGAGGGTATTTTGTTCTATTGGAGGAAGTTTTGATTGGAGAAATATTGCAATGAAATTTGCTAATTATATGAAATTTGCTGATTTCATTTCATTTCATTATTTGCTAATTATATATATTATATATATATATATAATATACTTATATGTAAATATAAGCATTTATTTAATCTCTTTTCCAAGAGATTAAACGGCTCTGTTKAACTGCTAAAACTGGTCAAATAATGCAATCTACTGAATAATACAGTGTTGTAGTTTMGCTGGGTAGTTGTACACATGCAGTGATTTTTCTCCTGGCATTTTGGGACTCTCAGAGTATTACCTAGTAATACTTACGGTTAACATACAGTGTTTAGATGTATGAAATTTAATATAAGTTCTGATTGTTAGTATGAAAATTAGTACAAGTTCTGTTTATAAAAATCAATAACAAATGTTTAACTTCTTGTCATTGTAGTTTAAGTTTCTACTTTTCCCAGGGGTCACTAGGGTCTGTTGTTTTGTTTTGTCCTTCCACAAACTTTCGTTTTGAGTATACAGCAGGGGAGATAATGTGGTCAAAGATGTTTATTTCTGTGTGTTTGTGCTCTGGAAGGGTTAAGTGGATGTTTTCCTTGCTTACTAGTATGGGCTGATTTTGAATAAGCTCTAGTACTAAATCCCAGCTCTCTGGTAAGTTAGAATTCATGTCTCGATATTATTAAGATTTTTTAAGCTATTTAATGCCTCCATTCTCTGCTTTGTCTCTTCCCTCATGCCCCCCAACATTTTTGGTAAATTAACTTTTGTTTGGGGACAGACATTTTAGCAGGGTCTAGGAAGAAATACTTTACAATGAGAGTTGTGAAACGCTGACAGGTTGCCAGGGAGGTGGTAGATGCCTCATCCCTGGAAACATTCAAGGTCCTTTTGGTCAGGGCCCTGAGCAACCTGGTCTTGTTGAAGATACGCCTTCTCATTGCATGAGGCTGGACTAGATGAGCATTAAAGGTCCCTTCCAACCAAAAACATTCTRTGATTTCAGGCATTTTCTATATAGTGTTAAGCACCACAGTAGGATTTACTGGTATCCTTTCTTTTTTCCTCCRTGACATTCAGGTTGAATAAAGGAAAGCTTGTGCCAAAGACAGAATCCAGAAGCTGAAGTTTTTCATAGGCAGGAGGAAAAGATGTTGTGTGGTGGCAAARAAAGAAACTGGCATTTTTCATCTCATGGTGCAACTTTATTTGTCCTGAACAGAGCCGTTCAGAAGTAATAATTACTACATGATGCCAGCTCCACAGTCACTTGGAATTGACTTGAGTGTTCCAGATGTGGACTGGTAATGACTTTAGGATCTAGTTAGATTGCTGCTTGCTCAAATGAAGTTTTTCACTTGCATGTTGTGTCAGTTTGACTAGATTTGGTTTAAATTTAACTAACAATACATGAGCACATGGCTTATTTCTCATTTTAGTGATTTCCATCTACCTTTTGAAGTTTTTTGTTTCTTTTGAAACAGAAAGAATTAGGAGAGTTTTAAGATACAATTTTTGAAGCTCCTTTGGTTCAGGCCAAGGGAAGGAACATCCATGTTTGATTTAACTTTCTGACTCAGGGAATCCTCTTCTTGTTGCACTCTRTTCAAGCATAATTTGCCAACTTTGTGATTACACTGACACAATGAAGACTCAGAGTCTCCCCCCAAACCCCAAGATGAACTCTTGAACTCAGTGTTGTTCAAGGCTTCTTAAATATGGTGCTTTCAAAGAGTAACATATCCGTAGAAGAAACCATTATCTGGAACATACTTAAGAATGTCAGAGAAACAATATTCAGGACATATATTTAGCAAATTGTACCCAGGCTGAGAGCATATGCTATTCATGTGTGTCTTCTAAAAATATTTTCACATGCAAATTACACGCCCGCTGGCTGCTTAGTTCTAGCCATGTTGTTGCGGCATGATGCTCCCTGAGAAGCTGAGTATGGAGTGAAAACTTTTGCTCTGAAGGGTCTTCTTGGATTTTACATTTGCTTGGCTTTCCTTCTTTTTCCAAAAACTAACATAAGAATATTTCCAAAATGRCACTTTGCAAGTTTAAATTAAGTAACTAATTATGTACGTACCTCTCTTTCTCTGTTTAATGTTTAAATATGTTTATTAGATTCTGTTTTTCAAGTACAGACCACAAGAAAGCCATTGTCTCACTCAGATAATTTGTTTTGTATATAAAGTCATGGTGACAGTTGTTGTAAACTTCCTTGCATTCCTTGACTATTTTTAAGCCCACAAGCTGATTTTAATATGTATATGTAGTATCCTTTGGCTATTKCATTGCAATATTTTAACCAAAGGGAGGGTGATCTTTTTTTAAGACAGAGGTTCTAAAATCATTAGGTAAAAATGAGAATAAGAAGCCAGGTTCTTTTGGCCACTGCTGCCTGTTTAAACCCTTTTCTTTTTCTGTAGTGAAAACCTATTATATTTTTRATGACTCATTTTCAAAAGTGCAGGAAAGAAAAAGTAGTGCTGCATTTTTTCCCTACTGGCCTATAGCCTTGACAGGAGAAATCTGTATATTACCTTCAGGTACASTTCTTTTTTCTTCTTGGATCTCATRTGAGTGCTTCATATTTTGTCATCCTTGACAGGAGTGTGTTCTTTGCTATGTAGAAAGAGAGAAGCTGAACACTTTAGATCTGATGCAGTGCTCTCTGAAATAACTGCAAAGATTTGGGAATTGCAGCTGGCCTTCAAAAACTTTCTTAATTTTCATTCTATTCTCAAAGTTATTTTACCTCCATTTCCTACAGCCTCTAGGCTTCTGACCCCATTCTAGTAGGAAAAARAGCCAAGGCTTAACATAGTATCTCTTGTGTTTTCATAAATGAATTAAATTCAGGAGTATTTCTAGTGGGGAACTATCAATGATAAAATGCTGCCTCAGAAACCCATGTAAAGATGGATGATGTCTGGTATGCTCATTGTGGTTGTGTTATGCATTTGTGTCCTTAGGATTCTTCCAGTACTTAGGTTATASTCCTGTGGTTCAGGGTGTTGCATTGCTACTCTTGTGAAAGTCAGTAAAAATAGAAAATACAGTTTAATGTTGATGGAAGGATTTGGATGGGACTGAGCATGGGGTAATTGAACAACAGTTAAACAAAATTCATGTCTCTGTAGTGGCAAAGATATTGGCTAGCTTGATGTTAAGGACTTGAAAAACTGATTTCAAAGTTTGGAGTTGCAGCGGTTAAAAGACTTACTAAGTAAGAAGGATTACAACAAGACAATTGTTTTGAAATTAAATAAACAAATAATATTTTTTGAGATGTGATATGTGTCTCTGGTTTCAAACATTAATTGTTGTTGCCCTTTTAAGGCAGGTTATATTTGACTCTCCTTTTTGTTAGGCCTTTGTACTGGGTTTCTCTTCCTCTATGTGTAAGTCTGGGATTTCTAAGGTGGTTTTAGATTGAACTGATTGACTTATGGTAGGATTCAAAGATGTGTTGTCGGTATGGTTTTGTTCATTTAGAGAAGAGTGATTTTCAGCAATAGCAGCTGAAGACAGTGTTTTACAGGACTTAGGAAATTTGGGATGATGTAAAAGGTGCTATCACTCTCTTATGTGTATATATAAAAGGGAAATTAATACCAAATCATGCCTATGCAAGTAAAGAATAGTTGATATAAACCATGACACTTTTAAAATAATCTGAATTGTTTTATTCTGTTTTCAAAGTAACTTTGAAGGCTCTTTTGTTTTCWTGAAAAAAAGTGGTAATCAAACATACTAGTTAAAGTGGAACCCTTGTGAATTGTGGAAAAAAAATTCTAAATATCTTGCCTGCAGAACCTTGTTGCTATGTTAGCAGAGAAAAAAAAATAAGTAACATACTCTGTCCAAGAAATTGGTCAGTTCTTTTTAAATTCCAATGTGCTTCAAGTCATTTTCCATGTATTCCAGTACTTTCAAAAGGRAAGAGTCTTTTCATGTAAACTGATTCTAAGTTTGTAAGATGTCAATCCATGCTAAGAAAAAAGGAGTAATGATCCATTTTGTGAAGTTTAAAAGTGACAAACTATCCATTTGTACTTACTTCTGTAACTTATACTGATGTAGCATTTCCTGTCCATTAGAGACTTGCCCTCTGGTGCTTGAAGCACTTGAGCTATATTTTATCACCATTATCTTGTGGTTCTTTCTTATTTAGTCTTGGAGAATTTTTGCTTTCTGCAATCTCATTTGGCGAAACATTCTGTGTAAGGGTGCTGGTGCTGCTACACCACTTTGCACTATGTGTGACCAGAGCTTCCAGCTTCTGGCATCTCGTTCTAGTAACTGCTGTGTAAATGCAAAGAAAGACTGATGCTTATTCTGAAGAGTTTAAAATACTTGTCCTATCTCCTCTTTCCTGAATTGCCAGCATATTACTTTTCACAGAATTGCATGAGTCTAAATGGTTTGCTAAAGTTGGTAGGACTAATTCTGTGTGAACTTAAAGCCTTTGAAAAATCTTTCCTGTTTCTGAATTATCCTTTGGTGGTTTTGG